ATGCAAGCACTGAGTCGTCTCCGTTTCAACGATGGAGCAGAACTTACTGAACTATCATTACTTTCTGCTCGTTGGTTAGACCTATGCTTGATCAGCCTCTTTGATGGATCCTTAACCTTCTCCAAAGTCTCCTCCTCCTGCTTTATACTAAAATCTTCTTCTAAACGAGTCTTTGGCTCAGAACAAACTAAAGGTTCTGAATTCAGATTTCGTGAATCACACAACTTCCCTCCTGCAACCAAACTAGTATCCACAACAGTGAACTTCATTTGGAGAGTTCCTCGGTTAGAACATGGAGACTTTAGGTAACGATGTCGTTGTTTATCAGATGGTGAAGACACTTCATCTGATTGGTCAGAAGAGTTCTCTGTAACAACAAACTCATTGGCCGTTGCTTCCTTTATCTCTCCTCCTGCTTCAAACTCAAGAAGCTCCGGCTCCATAGCAACCTTTGTTAGAATGTCACTGACGGAATCAAAGTAATGATCGCCTTTAACAAGCTCCCCTCTTGTAAACTGTTTCACGCCAGGGACAAGGAAAACAATGTTATCCTTAGATGTAAAATAGCCTCGTTCCTTAGGCTGCTCTGAATTCCATCCTCTCGCTAGCAAACGCGGCCACACAGCTTCCCAGAAGATATCATTGCAACGAGCTTTGCTTAGACGTGAACTGCCTGTTAACTGATTTATTATGTCAGCAGATGTGAGTGAAGTGTAAGCTCCTATGCCTGAGACTGAAGAAGATTTTGGAGAAACCGTGAACCATGGTTTGGTCTTCACAGGTCCTGCTGTAAGAATCGTGAGATCTTCTTTTCTTTTACCAATCCCCACAGCGTCTACCAGAAGCCTGAGACCCACAAGATCCTTCACCGCGCTTACGTATGTCTCCAGAGTGATCTTCTCTTCAGCAAATGACTTTGAGACCTACCAATATGGTAATAAGATTAATGACCAAGACCATATATACAGTTGTTAAGATGTAAACAAGACTCACATTCACAAGCATCTGTTTCTGAGATTCATCAGATATAGAAGGAATCAAACGGGATAACAACAGCTGTTGCCTCCAACCTGAATAGAGCTTCTTTCCATATGCACATCTCCGTCTCCGCTTCTTGCGAGGATCAGACCAACTATGGTAACTAGCGGAGTTATAGAACTTCCCATAGTAAAACAACACTATCTCTCCTGTTCCTTTGCTCTCCATGAACTTCTTCACCTGAGCAAAGTTCTTCCCGAATGTATACAGACCAAGAACAAAGCTTGCAACCTCAAGATCTTCCCACGAACTGGATGGTATCTCTGGAACAGCCTCAGGACTCAATCTCTGCTTCTTGGTGTCAGTCTCGCCTCTGGTCTTGGCAGAGCAACGACTTCTTTTAGCTCTTAAGGATTTCAAAGACTGGTTCATATCAATACTATCATCATCTCCATTTCCTTGACCTTTTTGATGCTTGTCTACCCACATTACTTGGACAGGTTGTCCAACGAGAAAGGAATATGAGGAATCATCCAAAGCTAGAGGAGTCGAAAGAAACAATGCACGTTTAGATGCAGACATCAAAGGAGGAATCTCGGCCTGAAACTCGTCTCCAACACGAGGCTCAACTTTTGGATCTCCACATGCAAATTTAACATCAGAAGAAGCGTCCATAATACTGTTTTCCGCATCCATTAGAAGAACCATTCTCGAGTTTAGCAAAAACCTGGACGAACTTGTCTGCATAAATCCACAAAAGAAGTGCATTTTCAGTATTGAATCTTAAATTGCTTCACTGACTGTATAGAAACCTTAAGAACATACAAACCATAAACATCTTATCCAATCAAATTGAAATGCAGATATATTACAAGATCTGAAAACCCCATTGCCCAAACGTTTCAAAATAAAGATATGGATATGAGATTAACAAGAAGCAAAAACACTAGGATTCAAGATCCAACCTAGAAATTTATTTGCCTTAAGCGAACATTGAAACTAACAACTAAAAGTATGAAAAGTAAAAACAAAAAACATACATGCATTGTCCAAGAACAACATAATATTGTAAAGTATAAAGCTCTAATATATTATCAGATCACAGCATAAAAACTGAAGATTCAGCTACTTCAGATCGTGAGAGAGATACAAAATACATTCGATTAAGTCCCAAGACATGATCACTGGAAACAAACACAAAGACCTAACAAAACCCAGAAACATAAAAGGACAAAAGCTAAAAGTTTTGAGAGCAGCCCAGTTCCATGAGAACAGAGAGACCCAGATTTATAATCAGACATGATCAAAACAAAACCTGACCCATCAACAACAACATGTAAAATCACAACGATCTCGTTACGGATTAACCAACAAGATGAAAGGTACTGTAAGAAAAGCAGCACAAAGTCGAAAACTTTACGCAGAGACACACAAAAAAAAAACGTTGAAACACGACAAAGTTCTGTACTTGATGTAATAAAAAGGAGGAGGACTCTAATCTCCCCGATTGTTTGTTTCCTCTGACATGAACCAGTAACGTTGCAACACAAAGGGAACCCAGAAAGAGGAGGAACGAAAACGTGTATTGACAAACACGTCAAGGGAAGATAGATTTGATAACCTGGAGTTTAGTTTCTGTCTGAAACTTTTGAGCAATGTTGGAGTTTTGTGGTGTGCTGTGAGATTGTGAAGTTGGTAAGGAAAGCCACAAGAAGATCCGAACAAAGTATCGTGTTTTGGGAGAGAAAACGAGCACTGGTCGCTGTTTCAACACCAAGTCTTCAAGAGAAGAATGAAAAACACAAAGGTGAGAAGAATATACAAGTCGTATATTATATAAAGATTATTTTTTGATAATGCATTTTCTTGGAATTTCATTGCCTTTTAAAAAAAAAAACAAAGGGCTTGGAAATCTTATTGTTTTCAGTAAAAGTATTAAAAAAATATATTGAAAGTTGTGGATGTGCTTTGTTTGATTATCATTTTGACGTGTTTTAACAGTCTTTGTTTACAAATTATATTTGTATAGTTCATGGCTTCATGCTAATGTATTTCAACTGATTCTATCAGCCATGAAATTTATAGATTTAATGCTATAAAGGTGACTGATTATGATGTTATCTGAAGTAAGTTTGGAATATTTTTTGACTAAACTATAAATAATTAGATTTTATACAAATAATTACTATGTAAGTTATATGGGCCGAATCTCAAACTCAGAAAATTTTATATGTATATGCGAATAAAACATATAATTACTATGTAAATTATATGGGCCGAACCTCAAATTCAAATTTTTTCACATAGTTGTAATTTTGTTTAAGGTAAATCTGGATCTTACATGTAATTTCAAGGTTTCGTCTACCGGTTGATCACAACCATGCGGATTTCATATTAATAGATATAATTTGAGATATGATTAGTATAAGTGTATAAGTAGGTCTATGTAAGGGCATCAGCATTGATAATAACTGCTAGGGTTTCTTAACAAAATTAAACCATCATTAAGTAATAATTAAAAAGAGAAAGAGTATAAAAAAATGGATAAATAATTCTTCCTAAAAAAGCTATCAAAGAACATAGGAAAGTGGATAAATATTCTTCCCAAAAAGACTATCAAAACAAATTGAGAGACTACTTAAACTTTTACTTCTCTTTAATTGTTACATCTGTTATTAAATAATTAATTCTAATTACAGAAATAAAATATGAATATAACAATTTAAAGACATCAATGTTGAAGACATTTACCAATGCAAATGCTCTAGCACTATGACCACTTCATGTAAAACGTCTAACACTTTTTTTGTTCAACCACACGGCTAATACTATGTCGATAGGTCTATCAATTTAACTAGGCCACAGCCAGTGGCAGTCTTTAGTCAGGACGTTACAATTCATACGTGTATTAGTCACGAAAACCATTTTTTTTACTATTGCTTCACGCCTTAACCTTCTGATTTGATTAATTTTGAATGTACTTTGAGGCTTCAGATTTAATATTGGGCCAAAGGCAGAAGTTTCCATGAATGAGAAAGAGTAGGGCTATAATATCGGTTTTCTTCTCTAATGACCTCTAAAAAGGTTGTTTTGGCTGTATAAATGAATGATCTAAATGAGAATTAGAAAACATGCATACCATAATTTCTTTATTCTTTTCTAAAAATATTCCAGAGGAAAAATGGTGTATCATCAATTTACAAAGTTATGATAGTTTAGCTTAGTTTGAGGTTCAAATACTTGGTATGAAACTAGAAAAGGTGATATTGGCAAAACAAATATATTAGAAAAGGTGATTCTTAGTCAAATTAGTGATGTAGACAAAAAAAATAAAATTTTTTTTTTGATCAAACACAACTTCATTCATTCTAAAAGTAAATATATTAATTTGACTATTAATTTGACAAAAAAATAAATTAATTTCAACTCTCAAAGTAAATAAACTTGCTATAATAAAAATATGTTTATTTGATGGATACTGTCGCAAAATAATAGTGATTATTTACATAATTCATATAGATATTTCCAAAAATAACATATACTACAGGGTATATAATTTAAAAAATATAAATGTTATATTTTTATTTCGGGAAACTATTATTTTTGTATATAGTAAAAAAAAAAAAAACATATCACCAATGGATTAAAAACAACAAAACAATAAGCTGCGCTTCTTCGCCCTCACAGATTCTTCACCTTAGAAAGAAAAAGACCCAATCACATTATTTCCCCAGATCCAATCAATGCCATCTCTAATTTAGGGTTCTCTCCAATCCCTAAATTCCTCAAGCTTCCACCAATCTCATCTCGATTCTCGATCATCGAGCCCCCCTACTCGTCGAATTCAACATCAGGAGCCGCGAATTCTTCAGCTAGGTTCGGGGAAGTTGAGTAATTTCTCATCTCGTTGTAGATCGTGATTTGGGAATTTAGGGTTTCGGTTGCTAGTGTATCGAATTGGGACTCTCTGCATGTTGTAAGCCTTAAAGTCGGAAGCTTTCTTCGATTGAGAAGTTTGGTAGGGTTTTAGTTATCTGTGGATTGTTGAGAGTTTGTAACTTTATAAAGACTTTTGGAGGGGGGGATGTTTGGTTCTACAATGGATAATAGTCGTGGAAACAGTGCTGCGGCAGGGCAGATACTTACTCCAACACGGTTCGTGTGGCCTTATGGAGGTAGAAGGGTTTACCTAAGTGGATCTTTCACTAGGTGAGATGAATGAGCTGGAACTAAGATTGTTTACTTTTTTTTTTTTTTTACTATTGTTTTGTGGTTTATTCGATACATTTTGTGCTTTTTTTACAGGTGGACAGAACATGTGCCAATGTCTCCAATTGAGGGCTGCGCTACTGTTTTTCAAGTTATTTGTAACTTGACTCCCGGATATCATCAGGTAAATAATGGTGAAATAACATCATTTGATACTCATACATTTAGCCTCTTGATGCTAATAAATGCAATATGCTTGAGAATCATATGTACATTTGTCATCATTGGATAGTATGTAATCCATGGTAGCATATTAGACGTGGCTCTAGCGTTAGAACATTTGTGTAGCCATTGAAGATTGTTAACTGCATATCGGAGTTAGATTAGTGGTTGTTTTAGTTTCTGGAATTTTATGTGTTGGACGTAGTATGTATAACTTGAGGTTGATTATTAAGACATGAGGTATGCTTAAGAAGCCTCTGATGTTACATTCAGTTATTTCATTTTTATGCAGTATAAGTTTTATGTTGATGGGGAGTGGCGGCACGATGAGCACCAACCATTTGTAACCGGGAATGGTGGAGTAGTGAATACAATATTGATTACTGGACCAGATATGGTTCCCACGGGTTTTAACTCTTCTAACATGGATGTGGATGATTTCTCCCATCGAGCGGTAAGGAATTTGACCTTTTCTAAAATAGCAATCTATTGGTATGTTTGTCTATTTATCAGTATCTTAGTTTTGTAATACAACGCTTCCTTTTATTTTTATTTTATTGCAAATTTGACACCTTTGAAAGAGACAACCGTTTCTCCAAAAAGGGAAAGATGTAGTGTCCTACATGTGTGTTAGAAATAGTTTATGCTAAATTGCTAATAGCATTTTATTTGATGTGTAAAGCAGGAGCCTTAAAGTTCCATAAAATTCTCTGAAGACTACATTCCAATTGAATTCTGACTGTTTTTACATGGTGATTATATTATAGGCTGATCCATCCCAGGAATCTATCCCTAGGGTGTCAGGAGTTGATTTGGAAGTGTCTCGTCACCGTATATCTGTTTTACTGTCAACCCGTACTGCATATGAACTGCTCCCAGAGTCGGGCAAGGTCTGGTTTCTTCATTTTTTATTTGTTTGATGACTTTTGTCTTCATATTCTATAAAGAATCGATGAGAATAACTTCTTCTATCTTAGTAGGAAATTGTCTAAGGTGATTGGAAATCTTTACAGGTTATTGCATTGGATGTAACTTTACCAGTAAAGCAAGCATTCCATATACTTCATGAGCAGGTTTGCTATATTTTCTACCATTGCGTTTGCCTCTTTTCTTTTTGGGATGTTCCTCTCTCTGTCCTACACAGTCATGTATGACATTGTAATGTTGTTGCATCCAGACCCGACTAGGGGGAGGAAGTGAAACTTAAAAGAACTAGATTTGTCTAAGTTTATTTCAAAATTGTCTGGCTTTCTGGTTTTTCTAATTCTGGATGCTTTCAGGGAATCCCATTAGCTCCTCTTTGGGACTTTGGTAAAGGCCAGTTTGTTGGAGTTCTTGGTCCACTGGACTTCATTCTGATACTGAGAGAGGTTGGCATTTCTAAAGTTGTTTATCTCTACTTCACTTCGAGTGACCGATGTATCATTTTAGGCATTCCAAGAGCAAATTATCTAAATATCGATATCTGGAAGGCGGTGCTGATATGCTTTACTGTCTAATAGTAATATACTAGTTTGCGTTCACAAATATTCATATGCTTTATTGTCTAAACATGGGATTTTAATTTGGAGTTTATGTACGTTTTACTAGCTTTCTCAGTATGAAGTTTTTCACTCTAGCGTGGTAATAGCAACTCTGTGAAATTGCAGCTTGGAACTCATGGATCGAACTTGACAGAAGAAGAGCTTGAGACGCACACAATAGCAGCATGGAAAGAGGGAAAGGCTCAAATTAGCAGACAATATGATGGAATTGGCAGACAATATCCGAGGCCACTTGTTCAGGTGAAACTATTAAAGTTGCTTTCTACCGCTCTTACTATTATAGCTCCCTCTAGAAGATCATCTCCTATCATCTCCTATCATCTTCTTTTACTTTGAAAATGATTCTTTTGTCGTTTCTGTCGACTAAAATTTTACTCAAGTGTTTTAGCTCTCTAGACTTACATATATCTAAAGTTGATTTGAATATATAGGTTCAGAATGAATAGCATGATTGTTCCACATTTTGGATTGGGAGGCATATTTTTCTAGGATTGTAAACTATTCCTGTCTACGTGTTTACTTTAAAAAAAAAAAAAAAAAATTTGTCCGCTTCTTTTTGCGTTCTTAACATAGTTTTATCTTAGAAACTTCTGTTGCGGGTTACAGTAAAAAGTTCGAAAAGATTTTCACTCTTGCTATTAATGTTTTCATATATTGCAATCAGGTTGGGCCTTATGATAATCTGAAAGACGTTGCCCTCAAAATTTTGCAAAACAAGGTGGCAGCCGTTCCAGTTATCCATTCTTCTTTGCAGGATGGGTCATATCCACAGTTACTGCATCTTGCTTCGCTATCAGGCATATTAAAATGTAAGGACCTTCATTTGTAATAAGATCAAAAGACACCAATAAGTACTCCAAATTAGCGATACACACTTGTCAATCCATGACGTGCATCTGATTCTGTTATTTCCGAAATTTTCCTACGTCTTCGTTTCTCCATATATTCTGTGAAGAGATGTGATGTATAGGAGGGAAACTAGAATTTTATAGTTGGAATAGGCTCTCCCAAACTTTAGACACAGTTTTCCCTACTGTAAATACTTTTTTGAAACTTTATGCTTCTTAGCAGATACTTTAACTCTAAATTACGCATAATATTTCAGGTATATGCAGGTACTTTAGACATTCGTCTAGCTCTTTGCCAATCCTTCAACAGCCCATTTGTTCAATTCCCCTGGGTACTTGGGTCCCTAGAATTGGAGAATCAAATAGCAAACCTCTCGCGACATTAAGACCAAACGCCTCTTTGGGTTCTGCGCTCTCATTATTAGTTCAAGGTAATCCGTTTTGCTCCTGTTTCATCAATACTATGTTTAAAGTTCATCCACAACTTGAGAATAACCTCTACATTTCCATCAGTTTTTTAAATAAAATTTCGACATAGCTGGTGATATCACCTTGTAGCTAAACACGTGTTGTTCTTCGTCCTGTCTTATCGAAGTTTTACAGAATCATTTCAATTCAAATCAATACACACCAACTTAAGATGCTATGACCACTTTTATAAGTGTAGTACATATGTAATTGTTGCTACAATTCATGTTCAGATTTGCTTTAAGCAAACCAGGTTTAGAGAAGTAGAAACCTAAGTTGAGTTTACAGCGCATTGATTTAAGAATTTCACATGACACATTGCATGCAAGTACAGGGAATAAATGAGTCGTGCTTCATCTATGTCTCTAACATCTTGGTGTTATCTGTTTTTCACAGCACAAGTCAGTTCAATTCCAGTAGTGGATGACAATGACTCGCTTATTGACATATACTCCCGAAGGTAAACCATCTATATCCATCACTTGATATGATATGTCATTTTTTGAATCCATGTATTCTGATCACATATCTTCTACTGGCCAGTGACATAACTGCTCTGGCTAAAGATAAGGCATACGCACAGATTCATCTTGATGACATGACGGTTCACCAGGTAAACCTCTCAGCAGAAGCCAAGATTCGTTCCATTTCTATCTCAACAAAAATTTCATCCTAGAGTTTTCTCAAAGGCTAAGCTGCATATGAAAAAGTATTTCAATGTGGTTGAAAAACTGTATGGGTTACAGGCGCTGCAGTTAGGGCAAGATGCGAGTCCGCCTTATGGAATGGTCAACGGGCAGAGATGTCACATGTGCTTGCGGTCAGACTCTCTTGGGAAAGTGATTGAGCGGTTGGCGAATCCAGGTATCACCATCTCCCTTGCATACACTCTTCAGACTTTGTTGCTCACATCATGAGGATGAGAAGTATATTAACTGTGGTTTGGTTGTATAAAACACTTTAAAAAAAAACAGGAGTAAGGAGGCTGGTGATAGTGGAAGCAGGGAGCAAACGTGTAGAAGGTGTCATATCTTTGAGTGATGTTTTCCGATTCCTGCTCGGTCTTTGACTATACTCTCCACAACAAGCTCTGTTTTCTCATTCCATCAAATCAAACTACCCAACAATCTACTTTTTTTGTGTTTGTGTGGTCTTTGCAAGGAATATGTAAATCTGCTACGAACCCCACTTCATCATTGTTTTTCTTCTATTTATTTTTGTTGTTTTTAGTTGAACTTGTTTCCTTCCATTCTTGTGAAAGATAATTGCCTTAACGAAATCTTTACTAGTTAGTATCTCTTCTCTCTTTTTTTTCTTTTTTTCTTTCTATGAATTCAACGTTCGTAACAGCAAGGGAAGGCCAGAGGAATAACGTTCAACACAAATTTAATCTCACCAGAGACTGAAGACAGTGCAAACAAGTAATAATCATATTCCCTACTATTATATAACATGTAAACGCGAATGCAAAGATGTTATTCTTTCTACCTATAGTAGAATAATCAGAGGTCAACAATGTTCAACCAGTGAGCGGTTGTTATCCAGCATACAATCAAGTTAAACTGTGCTGATGACATTTCCAATGTAACATGGTGTGAGTAATTTGCAAAATGTTTCTCTGAGTTTGCTCTTTTGTCATCTGTCTGACGCAAAAAGACACATGAATCTCTATCCTCAGCTCTCGTGTCTTTTCTTTTTTTTTTGGAACACAAACTTTCATTAGAACTTGAAATCATCAGAGTACATTGTTTAGCATGCCAGAAACAGAACCAAGGGCCTGTTTCGCTAACTTATCAGCGATAGAGTTCCTTTCACGAGGAATCCATACAAAAGACACAAAGTCAAAAGAGCTAACAGCAATTCTAATATCAGACACAATCCCATACAACTCTGGGGGTTCCACCTTTGCATTTAGAGCCGAGATGAGCTGAGAAGAGTCGGATTCGCATCTAACACGTCGAAGTCCAGAGGTCAGGCATTTCTTGAGTGCTTCCCTCATTGCAAGTCCTTCAGCCACAAGCGGTGAGTTCACAAAACCCACACAAGACTGAAAACACGAGCTCTGTCCTGCATTTTTAATTATCCATCCCAGACCTGCAGTGTTAGTCATCTCCCTCCAAGCTGCGTCTGTTTGGATAATGCAGTCCGAAGGCGTAGCCACATGGGGCGCGCGCAGTACTGGGCTTCTCAATTTTTCCTTGTCCTGCGCATTAAGCCATTCTCTTGCCGCCGCCACCGCATGAGTGACGACTTCTTCCACTGTAACCAGCTTGTTGTTGAAGATCATTTTGTTACGGGCTATCCACAAAGCCCACGCGATCCATGGAGCTAACTGCCCGTCGACAATACCCACAGGTGGTAGGCAAGGATTCTCTATCAAACTCATCCAATCAGTGTTCAAATCTAGTAGCCTTCTTCTATCAACTTGTTGAGTAAATGGAGCCGATTTCCACACCTTATCGGCAAAATCACATTGAAAAAGAAGATGGTCAATAGATTCAAGCTTCCCACATCGTTTACATAGGGGGTCAACGTTGACATGTCTCGCCACTAGCACTTCCCCGACAGGAAGCACTCTTTTAAATGTCTTCCAGACAAAAATTTGAATCTTCGGGGCGGTTTTCAGATTCCAAACGCCTTTGTTCCAGTTGAAACCGTTTCCATGTTGAGGTTGAGATCTCTCTTCCTGAGCTGTTCGTAGCTCCACCGCAGCGGCATAACCCGTTTTGGTTGTATAAACTCCATCTCTCGTATGTAGCCAGTAGAGTTTATCAGGAGCCCCTAACGCACTTGGCTTGATGGCAAGGATAGTTCGTGCCTCAGTAGGGAAAATTTGATGCACTTTCTGGTGATCCCATTCAGTTGTGTCTCCAATCATAAGGTCAGCAACCTTGAGATCCACGAAAGCCTCCGGTGAGGGTCCCATGGGTCTCGCTTGGCGTGTGGTGTTTAGCCATGGGTCACTCCATGCACTAATTTGCTTACCATCACCCACCGACCATCCCATGTTTTTAATTAGTAAATCCCGTCCCAGGAGAATCCCTCGCCATCCATGGGATTCAGCGGATCTATCTGGGCAGTTTAAGAAATCCTCTTCAATACAGTATTTCCCGAAGAGAGTTCTCGCAAGAAGGCAGGACGGGTTATGAAGCAATCTCCAGCTCAGTTTTGCCAAGAAAGCGTCGTTAAAACTTAAGAAATCCCGGAACCCGAGTCCTCCATTGGACTTGATTTGTGAAAGGTCATCCCACGAAACCCATGCCATCTTCTTTGTCTCAGGGTTTGAATCCCACCAGAATCTTGTTAGTGCGGATTGGATGCGTTTGCATAGTGACACCGGAAGCTTGAAGCATGTCATAGCATGTGATGGAATGGCGCTGAGGACGCTCTTTAACATGACCAGTTTTCCAGCAGTGGAGAGAAATCTATTTTTCCAGCTCCGAGCCTTTTGTTTGATCCTATCCACGATTGAGGCAAACAAATCTTTTTTCTTACGTCCGAACTGTTCGGGGAGGCCTAAGTATTTTCCCACTCCACCTTCGTTTTGAATCTGAAGCGACTCTTTTACGAGCGCTTTTAGGTGGTGTGGAGTGCGCCTGGAGAAGGAGACTGATGACTTGGCCGGGTTGATTGTTTGTCCCGACGCTTCTTCGTACCGGTGCAGGATTCGTACCAATGTGTTGCTGCTGGCCTCAGTGGCATTTACGAAAAACATCGTATCGTCAGCGAAGAGTAGATGGTTTACTCTTGGACATCCTCGCGCGACTTTGATACCTTTTAAGGACCCATCTGCTTGTGCTTTGTTACATAGACCCGAGAGAACTTCACTACACAAAATGAATATGTATGGTGAGAGAGGGTCTCCTTGACGAATTCCCCTACTCGGTTGAACCCTTCCTCTAGGCGAGCCGTTGATGAGAAAGGAGTATGTAACAGTAGTAATACACTCCATGATCAGTGTAATCCACTTCGGATGGAACCCCATCCTATGAAGCACTAATGAGATGAATTCCCATTCAAGACGATCATAAGCCTTGCTCATGTCAGTTTTTACAGCCATTGCACATCTAACCTCAGCCTCCGAAGTTTTTAAGAAGTGGAGAACTTCGTGGGTGATGAGGACGTTATCGGATATCGCTCTGCCTGGGACAAAGGCGGATTGATTCTCGGATATAAGCGAAGATAGTAGAGGCTGGAGTCTCTTAGTCAGTATCTTCGAAATGATTTTGTAATAGACATTACAGAGCGCGATCGGCCGGTATTCCATGACTGTCTGGGGTCGATGAACTTTTGGGATAAGGCGGATGTGCGTGCCATTAATCTTGTCCGGTAATTTTCCAGATGTGAAGAATTGCTGTATCTCGGTGACTATAGACTCGCCAACACTACTCCAGTTAGCGTGATAGAAACCGGCAGAGAAACCGTCCGGGCCAGGGGCCTTATCGGCATGAATAGAGAAAACTGCATCTTTTATTTCCGCAGCAGTGGGTAATTACATAGATGACGTAATGTTATATAGATGATGTAATAAATGAGAAAGTACTCGTTCTGCTACTCTCTACCTTTAGACTATCTCTCTCTTGCCCACTTTTTTTTTGTTGTTGCTAAAAGTCTCTTGCTCAAACTTCCAAGTCGTCTTTGCAACGACGAAGACGACGACCCATAGCAGAAGAAGTTTAGACCGTAAACTACAATGGTGGAGATTGGTAAGACGCTACTAGATTCCAGCTGGCTAGCAGCCAGATCAACGGAGGTTAATGAAAACGGCAAGCAGCTCACTACCACCAATCCACCGTCTCTCGGTTCCCAATCTAAGTGGATGGAAGCCGTCGTCCCCGGAACGTAATCTTCACTTTCACTTCTTCTCAATTCTCTTCCTTTCTCACTGATACTAAGTCTAGTGAAAGCCAAGTTAACTAAACAAAGTCAACTTAGCATTTTTTACCACTTGAATGATGAATAGCCTCTATATTTGTGAATGAAATTTTTCTTTGGGCTCATAATAGATTCTTCTTACTGTTTTACAGTGTTTTGGGTACGTTGTTGAAGAACAAAGCAATTCCAGATCCTTTCTATGGACTTGAAAACGAAACCATCACTGATATTGCTGATTCCGGAAGAGACTACTACACTTTCTGGTTCTTCACAAAGTTCCAATGTAAAAGGGTGAGAGCCACGTTTTGTATTCAGTTCAATCTACCTCTAAATTTTCTTGTTTGTTTGACATTTGTTTCTTTGCAGTTGTTGAATCAATACGTGCATTTGAATTTTCGTGCCATCAACTACTCTGCTGAAGTGTACATGAACGGCCACAAGACTGTGCTCCACAAAGGAATGTTTCGCAGACATACACTTGATGTTACTGATATACTGCATCCTGAGAAAAACAATCTACTTGCTGTTATTGTCCATCCCCCTGATCATCCTGGGACTATACCTCCCAAGGGAGGCCAAGGTGGTGATCACGAGGTACCCTTCTCTCTCCCTCTGTGTGAGTAGTGAAGCTCATGGCATTTTTCTTTCTTTGCATCATCTAATTCTAGCAAACACCATATCTTTGACAGATTGGGAAAGATGTAGCTGCGCAGTATGTGCAAGGTTGGGACTGGATTTGTCCAATAAGGTAATGTTTTTGTTAGTAGATTGAGCTTCTCAGATAGCTTAAGACATTCTCTCTGATAACCTTTTTTCTTCTTAGGGATAGGAACACTGGCATATGGGATGAAGTGTCAATCTCTGTTACAGGGGTTAGTTTAGTTTGTTTAAGTATTGTTAAGAGATGATATCTTCTGTCTTAAAATTGCTATTAAGAAGTGATTGTGTTGGTTGCAGCCTGTAAGAATAATTGATCCCCATTTGGTCTCAACCTTCTTTGACAATTACAAAAGGGTTTACTTGCATGTGACCACCGAACTGGAAAACAAAAGCACATGGAAGGCTCACTGTTCTGTAACTATTCAAATTACAACAGAACTCGAAAACGGTGTTTGTTTAGTAGAGATTCTTCATACAGAGAATGTTATCATCCCTGCTCGAGGACAAATCCAGCACACATTTAAACCGGTGAGTGCCACTGTTGTTGTGTTAACTCTTTATACTATTCTATAAGCTAATGGGTTAGTATAACACCAGATCTTTTTGTATAAACCTGAACTGTGGTGGCCCAATGGTATGGGAAAGCAAACTCTTTATGACGTCTTGATCACTGTCGTTGTGAAAGGGTTTGGAGAATCTGATTCATGGATGCAGCCATTTGGATTCCGTAAGATTGAGAGTGTTATTGATAGTGTCACTGGTGGAA